GGTAACTAAGCCGTTATGTGGTTTACAACTGATTAAGTGGCAGAGGACATAGCAACCCTAGGTCTGATTGGCATATGAGATTGGTCTATATCAGTTACCATTTGGCCGTCTTAGAACCGCTTGATAAACATTGACTAAAATTGACAGACATCTAGTAAATTAATCACAGTTTGTGTTGGTGCTCCTAAGGATGCCCTATATCTGGACTCCTCGCGCAATTTCTTGGGAGACCCAGTGTAATTGAAAACAAATGTTTACAGCAGTTAACGAGTTTGACGCTGTTGGAATCCTGATCAAAGTCAGAGAAGTGCCTCTCTAATAAAAGCAAAGTTTAGTTTTATACCTAAAGCTTGACTTTAAACTAGCACTAAGTACAGGTCGCAAGTAGGTAACAGTGTGGCTCAAGTGTCGCGTTAAATAATATAGCCCATTTTTTATGTTTAACATTGAAATAGGTACTTAAATAGGTAGGAACTGAAAAGTAAACAATAAAGACGATATGACCTAGATTGTATATTTAATTTAGCACAAAGACCTAGATCGGAAAATTATAGGGTAAAAGTATGATCGTGTGACTCAATGCATGTGGCATTGTAGTTACCTGTAACTAGCTATAAAACCCCGAAAATACTCGTAGCAATCATAGTTTAATATTTCTCCAAATGAGTAAATAAATATCGTAATCATTTTTCTACTGTTTAATGCGCTTGTGCATGTAAAATCAAAGATAATAAAAGCACTACATGACCTACATTGTATTCTAACTTAAAGACCTATATGGGAAAATGATAGGGTAGAGTGTGAGAGACCGTGCGACCGAATACACTTGTAACTTTGTTCAAAGGAAGCCATTTTCTAATTATGCACCTGACATTCTGTTTGTAAAGTTTGTATTATTGCACCTTCATTTCAATCATAATTGTATATAATTTCTTAGTGACAGTTAAAAACGCCTAATAGTGAAGTAGGTACAATAACAACTCACTAAAATAGCACGGTTAACACTCCTAAAACAATTGTCTTTATTTATTTATCCAGGTATTTCAACAACATTTTCATTTTGTTATGCTCATAAAATGCTCATTATGTAAGTTTTTTTTAATATACATACTTATCCTTTGAACAAAAACACATGATTTTATATCGATAGCATGTATATCGTTTTTAAGTTAACGCAAACTTATTATAATATAATATTCACAAACGATACTTGCTTAAGTGAAGCAGCAAATCGAGCGCACAACGTTGAATAGAGCTCTGTGATTGGTTCGTGTGTCACCCTGTGCGTCTACGCGCACTGTGAGACCTCATAGTAGTCTTTGCGAATACGAGCGTAGTTAAAAGGACGCGCGGCCGCTTCAAAGGGATTATTTCCAGTGGTTTTCCCGATTGATTCAGTCTGCGGTCGGGAATAAAATTCCACAGCGAAAATGGTTGTACCTACTGTAGGGTAGGGGTTTACTACCATAAGCCCACGACTCCGATAGCGTATACTTCACACTAATATGTATTATAAAGGCGAGTTTGTGAGTGTGTATGTTTGTTATTTCTTCACGTCTAAACGGCTGAAGCTGTTAGCTGATATCTGACACCCTGTATTAACACATAGGGTACGTTTAACCGCAAGGCACAGCTAGCATGTATTATAATAATGAATATCTACTTATAATCCTGAATTATTGTATGGTCAACATTATTTTTTTTTGTTCCAATTATAGTTTAGTTTATGTTTATGAGTTTTTTATGAGTTTTATAAATCGCGTAAATACTTATAATCTGATCTGATAGAATGAAGTAGCATCTAAATATAAAGCTTGTTTAAGCCAGGCTTTGTCCGTTTTAACCGTACAAGTCATCACATGATGAGATTTTCTTAGAAGCCTTCCGGGTAACATGAAAATTCTAAGAGAAAATCTATTTTACATAGCACTAGTGCTACTAAAAGGGTGGGCAAAGTGCGGCAAAAGGCACTGTTTTGGATTATTTTAGAGTTGGAGTGCATCTTTGTATGTCTTCTTAGGAATATTTTTGACAGTCACTGTACCAGAATATTTTCGCACTCGCTTCTAGTCGTAGACAAATGTAGGTCAGAGAGCTGGGCACAGAGGTCTGAGTGTGAGTTTACATCAAACGTCATCACTAGTGAGCGAGTAAAAAAATGTCATTAAATGTATGACGGATTGTACAGCGCCCCTAGCGGAAACTTTCAAGAACTAAAATTTTCATTATTTTAACGCGCTCTCACTGTAAACTCACACTATAAATATCAATATTAACTAACATTAAGCCCTCAGAGCTTAACATTGTGGCATCTTATACATCTATACTAGGATCTATACTAATATTATAAAGCTGAAGAGTTAGTTTTCTTGAACGCGCTAATCTCCGGAACTACCGGTCCTATTTGAAAAATTCTTTCAGTATTAGATAGCCCATTTATATACCATCACGCTACGAGTAAAAATGATTTTCACGCGTACGAAGTCTGGTATAATATAACTGTAACAAGTGTTATATCACTGCTACGAGTATATTAGCAACGAAAAATGTAGTTTTATGCGCTGTCGAATGTATTTACATATTACGTGTAGAGTTTTCTAGATCTGTATCTCAGTGAACATTTTTCCGGTTTTCCGGCACCTGACGGGAGAAGTTTTCCCGCCCAAGAGCTTTAAACGCCAAGTCGCTCGTTCACACCAATATGTACCTACTCGTATTGTCCACCGTCAACGTGGTGCTTACTGTAAGCCCCGGTACTTAGTGAAAGTGGGGTTGCCAGTTTTGGATGCGCAGATTTCAAATAAAATTAAAACATAAGATCATAATTTGCGAAAAATTCATGCACCGCCAAAAGAAAAAAACTTACAGTCTTGCCCTTAAGTGGATCAATCCACTTCTTCTTCTTAGTCGTTAATCTGAGGTCGTTACGCTCTTGGCAGAGCGGTCGTGGTCACGTTGAGGCGTTGTTTACATCGGTTGTAGAGGCGGATACAACTCTCCGCACGATCTCCCTCCATCTCTCTCTATCAATCTCTCAATCCACTTGCGCGTCTTCTACATAGTTTAAATGTAGGTATAATCTATCTATATTAATCTAGTCGTTAAATTCCATTAGGCACTGGACATGGATAGGCGCCTTATTCCACGATTATCCCGGATTTCCCGGTCGTCTGACAACCCTAAAGTGCGTGAATTCGGTCTGTTTTTGTCAACATAAAGCTTAACACATACTTGCTACATAGTACAGTACCTACAGTAGCAAAATAATCAATCAGCCGCCGACATTCAGCCACAAGGCTGCATTTATTTAATGTAATTAGCGCATTCGCTTCGACGCGAACAAAAAGCTGTACTTATAATATTTGCTGCTATTATGTAGCGTAATTATCGGATCAGATCGACGCGGATAAAAAGTTGAATAGTATCTGATATAAAAAAACCGCTTATACAGTTATTAAAAGCCTTTGATCATACATTTGTTCGCCATTTGTGTTCTCATGAGATAGTAAGATGAAAGAAAATTAATTTATTGGGACGTGTGTAATAAATTACGATTTAATTAATGGTCCACGTTATGGATGTGACCGTGAAGCAAAATAGCGTTGTTCGAGTTGTTGTAACATTTAATTAATAAGAACAACAATTATTACCATAATCGTACGAGTAGTCTAAATCCGTTTACAGTTGTTGTTCTGGTAGTGACAGCGGCAACGACATCAAGGTTAAAAAATAAACATATTAATTATTATTCCTATCGAAGTCCCTAAAATAAAGTGAGTGATGTGTCACCGTCGATTCAGTCTACACGACCGGACAAACGAGATTACACTAATAAGAACCCATGAATATTAATATTTGAACTTTAAACGCACTTCATTAATTCTGCCTTCGGTTAAATGTTTTACAGTAGAAAAATATAAGGAACGATATCCAACGTAGACTCAATTAGCTCGATAGGTTGCTTTAAATGTAATTTGATTAATTCACGTTTGAGCTTAGTATGAACATACATTTTTATTATTATAATAGTGCTAAAGTCATATTTCGTTTTTATGCTAAGCTGCTATACCAGCTTTAATGAATTTTAGTAAATGGTAATTAATTATAATGATATTGAAAAATCATATTGATTTAAATTATACAAATAATATAGAAACGTGAATGTTGTCAGACCTTTCGCGATTATTTTTGTGCTGTTTTGTCTATTGTGATTTCAATAATGCATGTATGTTAATTAGCCATTAAGATACAAAGTAAATATTACTTTATTGTTCCTTGCGATGATTTACTGACATTCGCGCATTCCTCTGGATGTAAAGATCAAAGTAGCAAATGTCATTTGGCTTAAAAAAGCTTTCTGGCAGTGAAATTAACTATTACAGAAACCTATAATAAATATACTTTCGCGAACACTAATAAAATATTTCGTAAGGTAAGTATTTATAGCATAGCTTAGAAAATTTTTGATTCCAATCGCTAGCTTTTCAAATTTCCCTTAAATAAAATGTACGGTTTCTGCTTTCGTGAAAGGTAACATAATCCTCCTTTAGTTAATAGGAAGTAATTGAATATCAGAGAAAGCGGGCACGGAATTAAACTAACGCAGACCTCAGGGCTGTTAATGGAAATTCTCTGACGAGTCGCTATTTCATTATTAATACGAAACATAATATCAGCGTCCATACATTCACAGATTCATCAAATGTTTGCGTTTGAGCAATTCGCTTTGCTATTTTTTAATTATTTATTTAAACACAGCAAATAATATTCAAAATATTCATTATTGCAAAGAGCAGTCATTCGCACCTATGATTTCCTCATCTAAAAAACGTGTTTGTAACGTTAATTATGTTTTTGCTGCTTTATTATTAAGATCATCGCCAGAAGCTGTGTGATGAATATAATAAGCCTTACTTAAATAAAATAACATGATTGTTTCAAAGCTATATTTGCGATCGAAACATTAAACATAATAAATGCCTTTTGGTTTAATTTTAATGGCTTCGAACAGACAAATAAACGTTGTAGGAGGTTAAGGTTTTTTGCCTGTTCAAATAGAAATATACTAAACTAATATTTACACACACTTAAAGTACACACTAGTGCCGTTTCTATGGCACATTGACGTATCGAGGGCCTCCACGTGCTATCGCAAGATCCTGTCAAGCTGGTGTTGCTTTAAAGGTTAACGTGCGCGCTATTCGAGATTTTCAAGATTTTGATCAGCAGGTGCGCTCGTAAAGAAAGATCGATATAATCTTATCCGGAATCCCCATGATACGTAATGGAGGCTCTCCATTCTTATATTTGGCAGTATTTTTATAGCTTGGCGCTCCCACTTAAAGTATTAAGCGGGACCGGTGTGGTGGTGCCACCTGAAAATATTTTCAGTCTATATGCATTTTTACTAAGCTCCTTGAATACCAGTGGTTTCATTGTCGGCCTTTGAGTCGGTTTCAAGTAGAGGTCAAATATTGACTGCCAACTTTTGGTGGTTGACGAGCTTTGTGCTGTAGGTCCACGAGTTGTCACTTGCCTTTGCGTAAACGCCTTTGTGGAAGGTGCCGTCACCGGCCGGCTTGTGAAAGCCGAAAAAGAACGACTAGTCGATCTTTGAGAGGTATTTTCAGTCAAAAACCTCGAAGTTCTGAACGTGTTGAAAACTTTAAATGCATCTGGTTTTTCGGTTGTGGTTTTGAAAATAGGTTTAACAGTCGTAGATGAGCTTGGCTGGTAAAAGCTGTATCTATTCCTTGGTGTTGTAGTTACGACCGTCTGTTTTGTAGTTGGTTGTGTAGTTCCTCGGGTATAACTCCAAGAGTTTGTGGGTTTCTGTGTTCGGCTGGTAAAGGTTATCGGCTTCTGCGTAGTCGTTGTACCTTTAGTTATAGCTGATCCATAAATCGGTTTGCTTGAACTTGAAAGACTTCTTGTAAAGGACCAATCTGTGGGTCTTTTAGTTGTAGTTGTTGTTCTTTGAGTGGTAGAGGTGGTTCTTGTGGGTCTTTTAGTTGTAGTTGTTGGCCTTTGAGTAGTAAAGGTAAATGTTGTGGGTGTTTTAGTTGTGGTTGTTGGGTTTTGAGTAGAAGTAGTTGTTGAGGGTCTACTAGTTGTAAAATATGTGGGCTGCGGGACTCTTGCCTTAGATACAGTAGGAATTTCCGTTGTGACTTTTGCATAAGTTAGTTCACGATTATAGTATGGTTTGGCAGTAGTCGATCGTGTTGCGGGTTTATCAGTTGTAAAATATGTGGGTGATGAAAAATACCTCGTAGTTACAAAAGAAGGTTCCGTTGTGTTCTTTATAGATAATTCTCGTTGGTAGTAAGGTTTGGCAGTGTTCGAACTGAGTGTTGAGGGTTTGCTAGTTGTAGAATATGAAAATGAAGGAAACCTTGTCGTAGGTACAACAGAAGATTTAGTATTGAACTTTATAGATGAGAACTGACGTTGAGTAGGCTTGGTAGTGGTGGTCCAAATGAATGGCGTAGTTGTAGTCGTGTAGACTCTGGTTGTAGAAATGGTTGTGGTTGGGGCTTTAGTAGTCGGCTTGGTGACTGTAGTAGCTTCAGTCGAAGTCCTAAGGGTTCGGGGCTCGTAACTTGCACTAATGGTCGGCGTCGACGATACAGAGTATGAAGGTGACGGTTTTCCTAACTCCAACCGTTTTGAAGGCGTAGCGCTCGGCGTTAACGATACAGAGTACGAAGGTGACGGCTTTTCTAACTCCAACAACTTTGAAGGCGTAGTATTCGGTGTTGACGATACAGAGTATGAAGGCTTTCCTAATTCCAACCACTTTGAAGGCGTAGCGTTCGGCGTTGACGATACAGAGTACGAAGGTGACGGCTTTTCTAAATCCAACAACTTTGAAGGCGTAGCGCTCGGCGTTGACGATACAGAGTATGAAGGCGATGGCTTTCCTAAATCCAACCACTTTGTAGGTGTAGCGCTCGGCGTTGACGATACAGAGTACGAAGGTGATGGCTTTCCTAAATCCAACCACTTGGAAGGCGTAGCGCTCGGCGTTAACGATACAGAGTACGAAGGTGACGGCTTTTCTAACTCCAACAACTTTGAAGGCGTAGTGCTCGGCGTCGACGATACAGAGTATGAAGGCGATGGCTTTCCTAAATCCAACCACTTTGAAGGCGTTGCGCTCGGCGTCGACGATACAGAGTACGAAGGTGATGGCTTTCCTAACTCCAACCACTTTGTAGGTGTAGCGCTCGGCGTGGACGATACAGAGTATGAAGGCGATGGCTTTCCTAAATCCAACCACTTTGAAGGCGTTGCGATCGGCGTCGACGATACAGAGTACGAAGGTGATGGCTTTCCTAACTCCAACCACTTTGTAGGTGTAGCGCTCGGCGTTGACGATACAGAGTATGAAGGTGATGGCTTTCCTAACTCCAACCACTTTGAAGGTGTAGTATTCGGCGTTGATGATTCAAAGTAAGACGGCGATGGTTTTTCTAACCCAGACCACTTTGATGGGGTAGTTTTCTTGTCAATTTTAGCTGGTTTTTTCCGGAAATCATTTGTTTCAATCCTCCTCCATACTTTGATAGGTGGATAGGTGCTCCATGTAGTGGTCGTTGAAGGAGTAGTAGTCGTCGTAGTCGTCGTTGTAGTTGTTGTTGTCCTTCGGGGCGTTGTGTACGGCTCAGACGCCTTTCCCAACACGGGTAAAGTAAGCTCATCAATATTGTCTATCTTATAATTCAACCAGCTATATGGAGAATCAGAATTTTTCTGATAATGGCTCGATTCTAGTATTTTACTAAAGCCACCTCGAACAATCGAGTTGATGGAGAGGTACGGCGGTTTCAAATCGTCGATGTTCGGATTGTAGTCGAAAGATGCATTGTTGCGTTCATAAGAATTGAACGTGCGCGGTCTCATACGAGTTTTCGCTGGTACGTCCTTCAGCTGACTGTCGCAGTCTACAATGTACTTCTTCGTGTTATGCTTGCAATGTTGAGGATACACTACCCAGGCAAGGAATCCATCGCCCTGCAGCCTCGTGTGTTCTTCTTTTATTCGTAAGGCGCACTCCAAGTCGTCTGATATATCTTCATCCCTCAATGCAGAGCAGGGGAGGCCGCAAGCCTTGCCGGGGCCGCACCAGTACAGCTCACTGATTTGGAAGAGTCCGTGGTCGCCGCTGTAATGGTTTTTGGCGGCTGTGTCGAACCGAGACTCGTGGAAGGCGATGCAGACCCACGTGGATATCTGTTCGCGTTCCACGCCGAGGGCTTGTAGTTCGCGCGCGAGCTCGCAGCGCTCGTAGATGTGCGCGGAAGCGAGCGCGAGCAGCGAGCACGTCCACAGCGCGGCGCGCAACATCGTGACTTGCGTGCGCGCAGCCTGCGCATGCTTTTACACGCGAGCCTCCCGCCACGCGCCGCGCGATCTGTGTCGCGCCCGTATTTTTAACAGTTTAAATTAATTGACTGTGAGTGAGTATTTTCCAGATAAAGGTTCTTAAATAACTGGCAGGTATACGGTAGCGAGAGGTTACAGTGCGTGGCACGTCCGGCGTCGGCTGGGCTGCGGCGGTTCACCTTGAGGTCGTCGGTCACGTCATCTCACTCCAGCGGTTCTCAACTGATATTTGTCGTTTTGCTTACCTACTTGAGGCATTTTACAAAAACGTTTGACATCAGGTCGAAGATTTTCTTGTGGGTTAAAAGATAAATGAATTGTTGGAGGCGGCAAGATTAGCTTAATTATGTCTAAAGGCTAAGTGGGTACCAAAATAACGGTGCTTTATGCCGATTTTACAGTGGAACAAAAATGACATACCGTAACGACACTCAAACTCTAGAACAATGGATGTAGTAGTTACCATTTTATTTTCCCGTTGCATTCGGATTGAAACTAGAGCAATACAATATGTCAAAAAAGCTAGCGAGATACAAAGGTACCTCAATTAAAGCCTGTAACCATACACTCGCAACCCCCGCATATACTAAAAGGTTGCGGGATGAAACGAGTGAGCGCGTCCCGGATGGATTGGATTTTATTCGATAAAAAGTAGAGCGTAAGAGGGGTATCAAAATGCCAAACATTTTAATTTGGTGACATTCTCATGCAGCCTTCTCGCCTAAAAGCATGCTCATGTGAAACTAATAAACAAAAGGCTTGATTGGTATGCGGCATGCACACCGCCTGAGATGCCAACGATGCCTCACTATGAAGGTACGTGCATCATTTGCAAGCTTTAGTAATAAATAATTTGGTAGGTATAAGAATACTTTAAAGTATTCTGTCTACAATACATGGGTACTTCTCATTTACACTCAAATTTGATGGTCACACAGTAATAGTTCATAAACGGTATATGTTAAAACAATAACTTTGAAATCAGATGATAAAATATCTATTTAGCTACATACAAAATAAATTGTATCNTTCGTAATAAAGTGGACGAGCGAATGAATGATTGAACGGTATGAACGCTAACAATCACTTCACTATTTACACCTAGACGTCCGTTCACGGCAAAGGTTCGACAGCGACTGACTGTCTGGCCTACTTGATTCGCAATAATGTGAACGAACGAATGAATGACTGAATGATGAGTGTACAAATAAACGGAGTGAGTAGTAGCGATCGATACAACGTTTAATTCTGTTAAAATAGTGTTTAAAAAAATAAAAAATATTTTTTTCCATCATTATGATGTCACATAGATACCAGTTACCCGAAAATTATAGTTTTAGATTCATATTATGTGTCACAATAAATATTTATTAAATACAGTTTCCTGGTTAGGGATCTTACTGCCAAAGGCCCGTTACACAACTTACTGACAAGGTCCCTGATAACTTATTAGGAATTTTATTTATCTGTCAGTTAAACCATTTTATTGTTTCAAATCAACATTATGACGTGGTGCCCGTCGTCTAAACATATCGAATGCCCCGGATTTCCTCGCCCTGCACTTGTAATTAGGCCAGGGTGATCGACACTCGGAAATTGAAGTGTCCCGCACGTTTTGACATAGAGTTAATGAATTTCTTACGTCCGTGGCAGTATTGGATGAAATGGCAGTTAAATTATACAGTACCGCACTATTTGTATGAATCTCTTGTAAAAAAAAGTGTCGATTGACGACAACGAAAATGAAGGCTTACTCACTATAGTCTTAAGTACTAGCGTGTTTTGATTTATTTTGCTTGTAGCTTGCTTTGTAAATATTCTATATCGGGAAAAACTTTTTTTTTCTATGCTCAACGAAAAAACTCTTGGCTCATCTTATGATTTTATTAGAGCACTAATTTCTTCAACAAGTTTTAGATATTTTATGCAGAACCAACGCTTCTTTTAGTTAATACTAGCGGCCGCTTGCGACTTAGTACGCATGGACACCGTTTTATTCCCCCCCTTTGGGGTGAAGTTTCGTAATATCCGTTCTTATGTCTACACCCTATAAGGAACCTGCCTGCCAAATTTCAAGTTCGTAGGTGTTGTAGTTTCTGAGATTTCGTGATGAGTGAGTCAGTCAGTGACCTTTCGCTTTTATAAAGATCTATTTATGACAATAATCCGTTTGTCCTGTCCGTAGCACGTTCTGAAGTCCCGAAGCAATTTCAAGTCCCGAAGTAGAGGCTGGAATCAAAGTAGGCAAATATCTACACAAACTCGGGGACGTCCTGTGAGATTTTGGAGATGAGCATAACAAATTGGTCAAGTTGGCACGTTGTTAGGGAAATTGGCTGAGTTCCGTACCCTTATTTTAAATTAAATTAATTTATGTTAACCTTCTAAGGTCATCTTGTGATTGAACGTCCCCTGCGCTTGATAGTATATGAGCATTCTAGAATCTTGCGGCCCTATCGACAGTCAGTTTCGCTGAGTTAAATTATGAACTTTATGGTCACCTTAGGAGTTAACGTCCCCTGCGATTGACACTTTGACAGTATGTGGCAGTAACCTATCTGCCTCACCGACCGTTTCTTCTGCGTGCTATGTGCTCTGCCTGTTGCCACTTCAGGTTGCTAATCCGTAATACAGACCGCTACTAACTGGCCAATCTGGGATTGGAGAAGAAAGGTTTGCTGTTTTATGTATTTTCCTGACGGTAAAAAAAGTATAGGTGTGTGTTTTTGGTGTCATTTTAGCCGATTTTACAGGCCTAGTCTAGGTAAAAGAGTTTTAACTGTCCCCTCAACTTGTCAGTATTACACTTGGATCATTAGGTAAGTACCTATGTGATAGGAAAAACACATAAATCACTATTTCAGTTGTAAACTAAAGTCGGATATATTTATAATTCAATAAGTCGATACAGATTTGTCTTCCTTAACGTGTAATACGTCAAGCCGTGTGGTGACGGCAGAGTAGAATACATTTGTCACCAACCCCTACTCTTCCCGCGGGTGTCGTAAGAGGCGACTTAGGGACTACACATCAAACAGAGAATGCAGCAGCGCTCTCTGAAAAACATCAATCTTTTAAACTGCGATCTCCAACCCGCCTGCCAAGCGTGGAGATTATGGCAAAACCCTCCACTATAGTGGAGGAGGCTCATAGTCCAGCAGTGGACTGTAAAGGGCTGTTGATGAATACGTCAAACAAGCAAATCCCCCGATTTGTGGGCACATTATTTACTTACGGAACCCTACAGGGGCCGAAGACATTCGTCAAATTCAATATTGTGAGGTATATAACAACTACGAGTACATTTGATAGTTGTGTTATTTTGTTTGTATAAATTATTCACAGTTGGTTATTCTGAGGTTATAAACAGATTTTGTGTTTACTCGACCGACATGTTTGTGTTTACCAAATGTATTGATTAATATAGAGTTATTAATACATTTATAAACTTCCAACTAATACTAATAATGCTCTATTATTACGAAATGTGTGCTTGAGAAGCTGGTTATTAGAAATTAAAAAAAAAAAAACTTTTATTTTACTTCATTAGAAACACTTATAACTACTAATACCGCAATTTACCTTCTTTTGCAGAAAAATCCAGGCATTCTAGTAAAGTTTTCTGTATAAATCTCTTTCTATGAAATATTTAACGAATGATTCCAATACATCAAACTTTTATAACTTTAGATAATATGAAACGTTTTATATCTCATGCTATCAACTATCCTAATACATTATGGTTTAAGACATTTTCTAATTCAAAAGTAGTTGGAATTCAGTTCAAAAATAGATCAGTGGGTAAATATTCTTCTAACCTTTGCCGCTATAATAATAAAGAATATAGACGTTAGTATTTTAAAAATAAGTTTTGATAGACATCTTCACAAGTATTTATGCAAAGATTGAATATTTGGCAATAAGAAAAGCCGATCCTTGAGCGATTTCATTGATGATTCACTCTTCTTTTACCATGATGAAGTAGAAAGTTAGAAACTCCTTATTTTCGTTTGTTTTATAGCTATTGCCGTCTCTTTTGTTTTGTTTTTTCAACTAACGCTGAAAAGTATTATTGAATTCTTTCTCTATATTCCACGGCTGAAATTTTTAGAGCTCGTTAAAATGGGAATTGGAATTTCTTTGCAATATTGCAGACGTAGAGATATATTATCTTATATATATATAAAAGAAAGTCGTGTTAGTTACTTCGCTTATAACTCAAGAACGGCTGAACCGATTTAGCTGAAAATTGTCAGGGAGGTAGTTTAGAGCCAGGAGAAGGACATAAGATACTTTTTATCCCGTTCGAAATTAAAAAAAAGTCTGCTTATTTATTGCCATTAAGGCGGAACAAAGTTCGCCGGGTCAGCTAGTGGTATATATACTTTAAGATAAAATATTTAAATTGCGAAAAAACTAATACTATCTTTATTTTTTTAAATTAGCTTAGCTAAAGCATAGGTTACGCTGTACTTTTAGTGACTTAAATTACACATAATACAAGACTGTATTTTTGATGTTTTAGTGCCTTATGTTTTATCTTTATTGCTATTTGCTGGATTTTATTATCATCAAAATCACAACACTATAAATCCTAAGTAAATTTGAATCCTTTGACTTAAAGTAACTTTAATTAAAGCTTATTATTCCAACACTCATCTTCCATCCCTTCACATCAAAATGTTTCAAATTTCCTACTTGTTACCGGTTTACTTGTATTATAAATTCATCGCTTGCCCCACGATCCCAATGGTTCTAGCCATTTACATAAATATTTTCTACTTGGATCTCTCTTTTTAGGGTTCCGTAGCCAAATGGCAAAAAACGGAACCCTTATAGATTCGTCATGTCTGTCTGTCTGTCCGTCCGTCAGTCCGTCCGTCCGTCCGTCTGTCCGTCCGTATGTCACAGTCATTTTTTCCGAAACTATAAGAGCTACACTGTTGAAACTTGGTAAGTAGATGTATTATGTGAACCGCATTAAGATTTTGATGCAAAAATAAAAAAAAAATATTGGGGGCTCCCCCCCATACTTAGAACTGAAACTCAAAAATTTTTTTTCGTCAAACACATACGTGTGGGGTATCT